TAAATGCCAAATTTAAATATACCCTTTTGCTTGAGATATAATTTTCCGAATGCTAATAGCGTTGAATATATTGTGGGAAATGCTTTATTATGAAGATAAATTATTCACAGATGCGTCATACTCGAGTTTTCGTGACCTTATTCATAAGGTACTAACAGTTTTACCTCTCACAACAACAAGTTATATAATTATTGTATGATTCACTTTTTCAACTTGCTTCTTAACGCACCTCATTCATTTATATATATATATATATATATATATATATATAAATTTAAATAAATTCATCCCATGGAAAAGATCAAATATTTATCGTCCATTAAACGACGAATACCATGACACAATTATATGGATGTCCTTGCAATGTCTCATACTAACACAGTCGTGCTTACAGATACGTGCAGAACGTATTTTTGAAGAATAAAAACTCCTCGATTGTTTCTTATAGCGCGTGAAAGGAACTTTGGATGATTGTGATGATTTTAAAGAATATCGCACACTAATTGATATAATACACAAACGATCTGTTAATATGAAACATTTCTTTATTCCATATGCAACTGTCGCTTTATTTAATTAATAATTTAAAATCATAGTTGCTTAAAGCTTTCTAATCTAATATTCGTCAAGAATAATTTAAAGTGAAATTTTTACAAGAATTCGAGTCTTTTAATATTGTGTTTATATTTATAAAAATCCTTACATCAAATCATATAATATCATTTTTTTTTTTTTTTTTTTTTTTTTTTTTTATTTACGATTTATGGTTTAAAAGGCCCATAAGATTTCCTAATTCAATTAAATTGAATTATTTTTCAAATTTGATTATGCTACAATGCTGATGGTGAGTTAATTTTATTAATAAAATTCAGAAAAATGAAGGGGATAAAAATTGAAATTTTTAATTATACGGATCCCCCTTTAAACCTCGCTAAATCAATTTCTCCCTAATCTTATATCCAATCCTAATCTCTCTAATCTTCTACATATGTACGGGTTACCATTACTAAAGAACATTTCAAAAGGCCGACAAAACATAAAAATCTTAAAGTCCATAAACTGAAAGAATTTTCAAAATGTCATATGTAATGTTAAAGTGGATACGCTGATAGAAAAAAAGGGCAGAATCAACTTTGCTTTATACGTCAATGTATTCGTGTACACAAAGTGATATATATATATATATATATATATATATATATATATATATTTTTTTTTTTTTTTAAATTATATTTTATTTCTATTACTTTTCTAAATATATCAAATCGAATATAGTCAGATAAACGCATAAATCATTGTACATAAAATATACATCTAATTATAATTTAATGTCTTTCTTAAGTTGGTATTTGTTTCGACAAGACTTGCATGTATTAATAATTTTTTTAATCGTTTTTGAATATATTAGGATCAATACTATAAAGGATTTACAAATAATCATCTCATACTTTAAATTCGCATTCGACGTTATAATTAATCTGGCCATATAAACGTCAATTTTATTATGCCGAATAATAAATTGAGGAGTAGCTTTAGTTAGTAAAAATATTTGTTAAATTTTTTATGAAAATTGTATTTTAACAATATGAATTAAGTTATATAAACTTGCTAAATAAATATTACGTGCGAAATTTCATTACAAGTCTGTTCAATCAACAATTTTTATATTGTTATAAAAAATATTGTAATTCTATAAGACGTTTAAGACCTTCTCTATCTATGCTCATGATGTGATTTTTTTTTTTTTTTTTTTTAACGAAATAAATTAAATTAACCAATGATTTTTAATAATTAAATATACTCTTATTGTAATTTTTATAAAAACTGAAGCGATCAATGTTTTTATACACACATCCTACAATTATAGCAATGTTTCCTTCCAATGTTCCATTTAACGTAAATGTTTAACCATCTTTTTGACAAAAATCTCTTGCTAATCGAAGAAGAAATTGACAAAAAAAAAAAAAAAAAAAAAAAAAAAAAAAAAAAAAAAAAAAAAAAAGGGAAATCATTTATCGGAAATGCTTTAGGATAGCCTAACTATAATCAATAGGATGAAAATATAAAAAAAAAATAAATAAATAAATAAACAAACAAACAGCGTAATTTCTTGCCTTTCTATTTGTATTTGATAATAATGTATTGCTTGAATAATTTATTATTAATATATAATTTCTCGCTGAACTTTTGCTAACTTTTTCCACATATCGCACGACGAGACCGCCAATTGTGACTCGCTGTTTTGTTTTTTACAACGAATTCGGCAGCTTAATAATTGACAAAACTATATTAAAGTTCAGAGCTTTAATGATCTTTCCTTGAAACGACGAAATATTATGCACTACGGCACTTAATACATTTTGCTTGTAAATTTTCAATAAATAATTAAAAGATGCGCGGTGAATATCAATTAGGTTGTAAGATCTTAATTATAAAAAAAAAATATTTGTATAAAGTGAGTGTTATTTAACGTGGTAAAGCATCGAGCGATTGTACTTAAATATCAAAAATAAATAAACGGTGATGATTTTTTATATTTGTTTCCTCAAATACTTTAATGCACACATTTATTTTAACAAATCCTCGCATAGGCTGTACTCGTATTACGACGTCTCCTATTATTATTCCTGTTGTTTCTACTTTTATCGATATGATTTATTACTACATGCTTCATTTCAATTAATGGAATTGTCTCTTTTACATAGAATACAAGACTTGTGCTCATTTCTCTTTGATCTTTTTTGAAATTGAGATCTCAAAACATAACGATAACGAATTTATATCGGACTTGGAGACACGAATGTTAATTTGCCTTCTATGCTTCCATACATCATGTTTATTTGGATTTAATTGTTCTATTGAAATAGATTTATTGCATATTCGTTTGTATCAAAGATCCAATATCTATATGAAATTGATTAAAACTTTAATTTCACGTATATACATATATACATATACATTATGAATTGTTTAACTTTTTTTTAATTTTAATATTATTGTTTGTAAATGTAATGAAAAGTATTTAATATTTTTATTAAATAATTTTTCATGCCAATTTATATATATATATATATATATATATATGTACGTATCTATCAAATTTATAAATTGACGTTTCCTATGTGCGCGTATAAGTATTTGCGAGCAAAACTGTTTTAAAATCTTAAACAAAGTTGAACAAGAGAGCGAAAAATTTGCATAAAATCACGTTTCCTAATATAATTATAATAATAATAACAAAAAAACGTATTAAATATTGATTGTCATTCACTTATTTTTTTTTTTAAACAAATACAAAAAATATGTATTGAAAGCGAATGAATGAATGAATCTGATACATCCGTGCATAGAATTTTATTTTACATGTTCGATCGAGCTTACTTTGCGTACCGAGCTAAGGGTGTATTAAAGCTCTGGTAAATAAATTAACGATCGATGAGATTTGTAGTGCTGCCGAGAAAACAATTTATTCTTAAATATATATGATTAATTATGTACAGTTACCAGTGTATTGTTAATTTGTTTATGAGGCCGAGACTCGGTCAAATGAAAATAAATAATGTTGAGAATTTGTACTTTCGTAACTCAAAATTAACTTATTTTCCCTCACGTACTCAACGATTTCTTTTATAATTTTGCAAGCAAAATAGCCGAAAGATACGAGGGAAAGCATTGGAGGGTAATAAAACTTAATTTGCGTAAATATGATAAATTTTCGAATTTTTGAATATTTCAGCGATGAAGTTATAAAACGAAACAATGCTCTTACACGTGGTACATAAAACAAAAAAAATATAACGACAAAGCTTTCTTAACGGATAAGCATAATTGCCCTACATTATTTAAGCTAAGCACTGCTACTGTTGTTGTTGTTGTTGCTGCTGCTGCTGCTACTGGAATTATTTATACGTACACACTCGCTCTCTCTCTCTCTCTCTCTCTCTCTCTCTCTCTATTGTTCTTTACGGTCGGTAAGCATGCTCATTGTAATTGAATTTTAAGAATAACTGCATATAAATACGTATGTATTAAGTCTATCGTACTAAGTACTCTTCTTTTTTGTGTATTATAAGCAAAGCGGTACTTTCTAAATAAGATGCTTAAAGTAACGTTGTAAAACGAGATTAGAAATAGAGACAACCGGTTGCTTTCTTCTAATGAACTTATTCAAAAAAAAAAAAAAAAAAAAAAAAAAAAAAAAAAAACTCAAAGACTTACAATTGGAACATTGAAAATATTCATCTGTCGTCCTTTGAGTTTATAAGCATACACTTTTTAATAAATAAACAACCCAAAGTCATGTGATCTTGCGTGTATTTGCTGCAATGTGGCTAACTCGATATAAATAAAAAGCACTCGATGTGTCGATGTTACGAGGCGAAGCTTATGGCAGCCAATTTTGACGCACACTCCATAAACGGCGAAAACCAATCGATTCATATTATTAAAGCCGAGAAAGAAACTCGTAGGCGGATATTATCTCAAGATATAAATATTGGCGACGTTCCACCCAATCATTGCCTCCACCTATAATGCAAAAAAAAAAAAACCGGCTGATTCGTTATATGACTAAGAGCGTAAACGACCCTCGGCCCTTCCGCATTCGAGCCTCGCGTCGATTCGGCGCGTTTCCTGCCCCTGCCCCACCTCACCGTCACCGCCCACGTCAGTCGTCACCAAGCGATTCGCGGTGGTTAGCTTTTGCGATTATCCGTAAGAGGCAGCAGCTCGTTACTCCGTCTCTGTCCTCGTCGTTGCCGTTCACCCTTCTCGTCTTCGCCTCAACGTCACTGCGTGCGTGCGGCGCGTGTGCTTGCTGCGTGCGTGCGTGCGTGCGTGCGTGCGTGCATCCGAGTGAGAGAGAGAGAGAGAGAGAGAGAGAGAGAGAGAGAGGGACGAGCGAAACGCAAGTTGACGACTTGGCAGTTGGCGTTGGCGTTTGCCTGACAATTGCTCGGAGGTTGTTGCGACGTTTCGGTTTCGTTGTGCATCCGCCGCTCGATATTACGACGGTAAACATGTGCAAGCTCGTCTGGGGAATCATAAACGGTGATCTCGAGCAGGTCCGCGATATCGTGGAAAACGGGGTGAGTGTTAACATTTCACGCCTCCACGGCTTCTTACGGATATTCGCGTTTCCGCTACCCTCCCACTCACCTCACTTTCACCATATTATCCCCTTCAATTAAACGACAATGTGCACTCGACTAGCGCTTGCTACTTGCTTTTGTAGTAATTGCGTGGGGGTGGCGGGGGAGGGCAGGTTTGGTGCTGTAAGAGAATGACCATGTAATTTAATTCGACATTGCTGGAAGAAATCGCTGCAAGATGTATGAGAGGATAGAAATTTATGAGATATGATTTATGAGAGATTTATGTGTAGTATTGATAAAGGGTCGAGTAGGGGTTGGGAAGTTTGTCGACGAGGAAGGTTTAAGAGTTCTGGGGCGTTTAAAAGAAGTTGCTTGCTTGTATTATTCATTGGGCTTACCACATAAGTGTATAACATATTGTATGCTTTTGCAGAACGTAAATGTTAATCTGTGGATCAATGGCAGGACACCATTGCATTATGCGGCTGATTATGGACAGAACGAAGTGGTTAGGTACCTGTTAGATAAAGGAGCGGATGCCAATGTAAGAATAATTAATTATATTAAATATATTATTTGAATGAAGTAAGTTTGATAGATTTTGAAGGTGGAATATTTGCCATCCACGATTTGCACGTTTGAAAAGTTAGCCAAACTCAATTTGTTTTGACGCTTATGCGATTTGCGAATGTAATTTGTGCTATACGTTTCACAGGCTACCGATAAGCATGGTATAACAACGCTATTGGCAGCTATTTGGGAAGGTCATACCAATTGCGTTAAGTTGTTGCTTGAGAAAGGAGCCAAGCCTAACGGCTTGACGCCACACGGCAAGAGTTATTTAGACGTCGCTGAGGAAGAAGAGATTAAAGAGCTCCTGAAGCTTCATTATCATTAAACCAAACGACGCAAAGAGAGATATATATGAATTTTGTTATTTAAGAACTTTCAGGTTCCTTGTAGGATATTCGCAGCTGCTTTGTTATTAATTTTGTGCGTGTATGACTTCTGGCCACCCTGGTTAATGCAAGTTGACATAACAAGTAGTGTACTAATCGTAGTTTTATAAGAAAAATTTTTATGAAAATTAAAAGAGGATAATAGAGTTTGTATCGAGTGCATGATCAAACACATTCAGTAATTGTGACGGAAGGAACTTTTTTGCTTTTCTTTTTATTATTTAGATATTTCTAAATATTAGTTTTCTAATTTTTTAATGATTTTACTTTTTTTTTTTTTTTTTTTTTTTTACAACTTAAAGTATTCGATAGTATACGTCACGTTTTGATTTTTATATCTTTTATTTATCACGATTGAAGGGATTTTCAAAAAGTGTAACGTGCTCGTAAGCGCTATAAAAATAATGTGTTACTAATTCTAAAGCATAGGATAACAATGCTTGTAACAATTTTTCTATTTCACATCTCAATAACGATTGTTTTTATATTTCTAATCGGATTGTTAGTTGATAATGATTTTTAGATGTTTTCCTTTTTTGTAAACTATATACGTTACATGTTGTGAACTTATATTTTTATGTGTATATCAGTGAATATTTGCACCAACATCGTTATCTACGACGTTGAGTAGACGCATATTTTGTTGGAGTTAAAATAAGAAATATAATAAGTAATAAAAATTCAGCTTTGGAAGTTGAATATTATTGATAGACGTGCAGACGCACAAACAGAAAATAAAGAGAACAAATATAAAATCATCGAAATTATTACAAAAAAAATTGAATTGCTACTCGTTTGTTGCACCAATCAAATCAAAACCTCCATCGCTTCTCTCTATTAATTTAAATAACAATTATAATTATTTATTTAATAATTAGGAAATTGTAAAATATAAAAAGAAAATATAAAAACTATACAATATATTTTTAGATGCATAAATAAAAATTTTTTGCTAAGTTTTAGCTTCCTATTTAGATTACAAATTCATTTTATTGTTTTATTATTAAGATTTTAATTATTTACACACAATTATAATAATTATTTATTTGCAATAAAAAATTAAGTTATGAAAAATCGTATATGTATGTATGTATGCATGCATGTATGTATGTGTATATATGTACATATATATATATATATATATATATATATATATATATATATATATATATATATATATACACACACATATACACACACGCGCGCGCAAACATATATATATATATATATATATATATCGATTGAAAATTTACAATAATCGTCCTCTGCAATTACTTGCTCCACATTTACAAATGATAACCTTTCCAGGAATACTCCCAACGTCGTAACTATAATTCCAGGTTAATTCTTGACCTGCTCTGATGTAGCTCAGGGCAAAAAAGGCTACCCAGGGAAATCGAACGTCATGGGTGTCCACAAAAACATTTTGCACAAAGACATTTGGATCACAGGAGTGCTGAAATGATTTTTAAGCCTTTAATTATAAGGTTATGGTTGATAATGACATTAATGTTCTATATCCGACAATTATTTATTTACACGCTGTCGTTAACGGTAATTTTCAACGTGCATGTTATTTTTCAATAATTTAATAGGGAATTTGACTGGCAAAAGACGATGATCGAGATAATTTTGCAAATGTAATCGAATGTACTCGATGATTACGACCTTTAAAAATTTTAAATCTATCGACCATCAAAATCACAACGCCATATCTCACATTGATCACGATCACATATCGGCTTAATATCACCGACGACGATCAATGACAAATGACGTGAAAGACACATACATTTAAATAGCGTCCGATGTTTCCCGTCGTTTTCGCATCCATTATATATACGGCCTCGTCCTCTCCAAAGAAATCTCTAACCGATTTGAATTTCTCCCTTCCAATTTGCGCCGTGTCGACGGTTAGATCGAATTTGCTCGGCTCGCGCATCGCTTCGTCCTCGTCGCTGCCAGCCTTGTCCTGTCCATCCTTCGATACGCTTCCGTCCTCCGACTTGTCGGATCCGAGATTTTCGTCTCCCTTCTTCCGTTTTCGCAGCCGTGTTCTATTTGGAGAAAATCAATGAAACTGTGAGCCCGTCCTACCTCATCCCTCGTGCATTTTCGGCAGGAAATTGAAACGACGTGGTTGATTAATTGAGTAAGGGGTTAATAAACGTGAGGCATCTATCATGCGAGCTTATCACGTATTACCTTATCGACGAAGTTGAGTCTTCGTCGTCGTCAACGTTGAGGTGCCTCTGCAATTTCTTGCTGATGTTAAAATCGTCGTCCGAGTCGTTGGGAACGAGCTTCGCGTACTCGGGATCGTCCTCCGTCTTTTTCTCCGTCTTATCTTTGTCCGAGTCGTTCTCCTCGAGGGCCATTTCAGGATCGAGAGCATCGCTCTCGTAGCCCTCCTTGATGCCCTCGACGACCTCGACGTAGTCCAGCTCGGCCAGGTACTCGTCCCCGTAATTCTTGCCGCCTTCGTTGGCTCCCTGCTCGGTGAGCAGTCGACCGGCGTAAATGCAAATGAACGAGCCGAGAGGAATGTCGTTGAGGCACCTGATACCCCAGCCCCTGGGCGCGGTCTTGAATACCTGAAGCTTCAGGTTCAGCGGATGCTGAACTACTCGGTTCAAGCAGGTCTTTACCGAACACTTGCATCTGTTTGAGGAAGAAAACAAATAAATAAATAACAATCGACGATCGCATTATCATTAATTTGCAACGCATTCATTCTGATCAACGATAATCCCTTGGCTTTCGTGGCTAGCCATTTCCATTTACATCGTCTCCATAAATATTTTAATTACGATGTATTGGTGTTTTCTCTTTCGTCGCGATAAGTGCGAGAGACGCGCCTCTTACATTTAAAATTTAAATTGAAAGGGGCCGTCGTCGACGATCAAAATACACTTTCGCGGATGAATTTCGAGCAGACGCGAAGATATTGAATTCATATTAATTATAAAACTTTTAAGCACGCTCGAACGTTTAGTTACAACGAGACAATCGACTCTCTTTCTCACCTCCTCCCCCTCCCCCCTCCCCCCTCCCCCGCCACCTCTCGTAATTTTAGCATTGCGAATCGTCGTTTAAATTGAAATGGATCTCGCGAACCAGCCAAGTAAAAGAAAAAGTAATTTTTGAAGTTGAATTGGATCACATTAGAAGAGACAAGTCGAGAAAATTGTCAACGAACCTAGAGTTGCACTCGTAGATTCCGGTAGTGACAGCCTCCGGTAGCCTCTTGTAGACATAACCAACTGCGGCATTTGGTACTCTACCTCCGAGAGTCGCACCTTGAATCGTCAACTGCCAACATTGACACTTATTCTTGTCCTGGCAATCATCCTCGCAGTCGCAACTGCACAAAAAGTCCGGATCGAGATTCATGAACACGTCCTCCGTCGGCTCTCTCTCCGTCGTATATTTGATCGTGTCCGGGTAGGCATGATCGATCTCGTTTACGCACGGAATCGGAACATTTTCTACGCCGTAGCTTAAATCCTGAAGTGAAAAATGATTGTCAGGAGCTTATAGCTGGCCGAGGATCGTTATTTCTTCTCTCCTTCCCGTCTATTATATTTAAGAAATTATTGCAAGGCCCATTTAATGGGCATTCGACTATTGGTATTTGGTCGACTAAGGCCAGTGTCGTGCACCCGTGTCGACCCAATTGACGCGATGCGTACCTTTATATTGACAAAGCATTTGTCGAGTACGAATTCTGCCAAACAGTGCACCCAAAAGTCAAATTCAAACAAATCCACGGACATTGGACAATTGGTTACTCTCAGATAGTCATGGAGCTCCTCCATATTTCGCAAACGAACTCCGCACGGGGCCTGATACAGAATAACTTTCTTCGCCTTGGGGAATTTGGAGAGTTGCCGGTTCCAGCCACACAGCAGTGGGATCGACAATGGCGAATAGCCGCGAAGATCGTCCGGAGTGAAGGAGATGCTTTCCACGCACTTGGAGCCGCATTTGTGTGGGACGAACTTTTTCGTTTGGATTTTATTTTGCGTCTGATAATACTGTTGGGACAATAAAATAATCAATTTAATAATGATTCAAAACACGTTGAAAATTTTACTTCTTCTTCTTCTTTTGTTTTTGTTTTTTATTTTTTGTTTCTTTCCATTGCACCTGAGAAAACAGCGTTCGTTAACGCATTCTATCCTTATTTTTTCTTTTACATTCTAAAGGATTTTTATGCGAACAAGAAGTTATCATTTAACTCTCTGGGTAAAGGTCCCCTCCTCCTCCTCCTCCTCCTCCTTCATCTTATTCTATTTTTTTATTACACGCTTCGAGCGAACGTTTATACACGCATGACTTTAAATGTGATACTATGGTATCACAAATGCTTTTCCCGTAGCTTCGGTACTTGAAATCGATGCTACAAGATACTATTAATATTATCCTAAATGTGCCGAATGTCTATATCGTTCGAATTACAATAAAATATAAATCGATATAAATCGCCGATCGTCATATGTATTAGATTATACGTGACGAAATTTGGTGTGAGTAAGTGAATTTTATTATGAAAAACTATCAGACCTACAATGGCTCACACATCGTTGGCCAAAGCTGTTTGGAAATTTCTAAAAACTCAATCGAACGAGCGTAGAATAAAATTAATTGCATTGATAAAACTAAATTATGCAATTATATTGCCGCGTAAATTCAACGTTAAAAAAGTTCAATTAAATTCATCGTTAATATTGAAATAGATTTAAGAAATTTAGCGACAAATGTCACATTATATGGGCAATTTTTGTTCTGTTTTGTGGTTTGTTGCGAGGTAATTTGCAACACGTTTTCAATAAATTCACTCCTACATTATTGTTCTTCTAGCATAGATTGAAAAATCCTTTTTCCTATGTCTCGACCGATAAATGCCGAAACATTAAATTGAAATTGAAAGTATAAATGTAACTCTTTAACTCTGCATTAAATTGAAAAATCACACCCTCTTTCTAAGCCTCTTTCTCAATCTAACGTCATCCCCCACCCCCCACCCCCACCCCCACCATTTCTAAACACTGATAAATTATAAATAAAAAAATGTACGCATATTTACAACAATACTGTGAGAAGATTTGGTTTCCATATTGGCATTGTAAGTGGTGGCTGCCGATTCGGGTAAACTCGGCCTCTTAGTCGTACTTTTCTTCGCGACAGCTCGGCTCTGCTGTGGTGCTACCGAAGTCTCCACTTGGATGCCGTCGTTCGGCGAAATACTCTTTTCTTTATTTGACAAGAAGGCATCTCGTTCGTCCGTTGCGGTTGACGTGTATTCAACGTATGGACCATTTTTCTATAAATTACAATGTTGTCACGAGTGTAGAAAAAATTCTTTTTGGCAGTTGCGCCGTTCGTTTTTAATGTCTAATGTATTGTTGTATAATATTTTACGTTCATAGCGGGCGTTCCGCGATGTCGAATCGGTGTGTTTATGGACGAATGGCAACCCTGCTGCCTTAAATTAGCTTTCATAAGCTCTAAGTACAAGGGTCCTAATCTCGCTGATCCACGGTAAATCCATTCCGTTCTATTATCCGCATCGAAATGCATCTGCACCAAGCTCGCATCGACTTCCCTCACTCGCGCAATCCACCACTTTCCATTCCATTCGGTTTTAACGACCTGACCCCGCTGCAATTTCACCATTGGCCTTTCGGGATACGATTCCATGTATTTCTTAACGAAATCCCGGGACTCGAGGGGTATGTCTTCCCATATGCGGAGTGAGCTCTCACAAACCAAAAATATGTGCTTGTGTTTGACATACTGAGCATATCCATCGTCAAAAAACACGAGGTATCTGGAAATGTTTATAATTATCCTTTATGTACAAACGAGTAAATACAAGTTTTTCTTCGTCTTTCTTTTTGTTTTCCTCACATATAAAGTCACATTTGTTCTGCGTAGTAACGACTAACTACTGACACGCGCATCACACACTAGTGTAACACACAGACATCGGTAGATGACAAGATGTTAAATATTAAAGATAAATGAAAGATTGTAAATAGGGAGAGACAAATCTTATTTAACACACTCCTTCCTTCCTTACATTATTAATTTCCTCTCATTTACCTGTATTTATTCGTTGACTTTGGTGGCTCGGCTATGACTCCACTGTAATAATTACTAGAATATGTGTCGTGAAAAATGGCAACCACTCGCGTACCAACTGGAATAATGACGGAACTAGGTATACTCGATGCCATTTGTTTGCCACTCAAGCTTTTTACTTGGCCAGCGTATTTCTTTTGTAATAACTTGACACGATACTGCATTGGACTTTTTGAAATGATCGTTTGAACCTGTTTTAAATTATATATATATTTGCTTTATAAATTTCATTTTTAAAAAAGATGTCCAAACTCATATAAGAGATTGATTATGGACAGTCAACGAGAGGCTTTCCTATGAAATTCAGTTATTGCAAATTGATGTGCAAATAAATGATAAATACCTTCCCTTTGATCCATGGGAACAAAGGATGTTTCAGTGTAAATACAAAGTCGTCCACTTCTGGTATCGGCTTAATCAATTGACCCAACGGTGGTAAATCCAGCGATTGAATCAATCGATTATCCCTTTCGACTTCCCTTAAAATCTCCGGCTGACAATCTTGTGGCTGCTGTTTGGGCGGCACTCGAACTTGCGTGACTTTTTTGGTTGCTACGAGAGGATAGATCACACTCTCGATAGAATCTTCGATCTTTAAATCATCCAACATTTCAATTTTCGGCTTAAATTCATTGTATAACGATGTGCGCAATTTATCTAACTTTGACATCGTTGCCACTATCTCTTTATCTATGTCAACGTTGTTTGCTAAAAGAAATAAATACGAAGAAATTTAACCTTTAAAATTCACGCGCTCTTACACTTTCATACGTAACGCATACATTCTATTGCATCCCACTGAGATATTAGCACTGTGTTGGCTTCTTCAATTTGATAATTAATATCGTACTTGTCGAGTACTTCGGTTAACGATTTATCAACTTTCTTCTCAAACTCAGCCAATACGTCTTCTAGTATATCTATGTCTAATTACATATACAAACAACAATATTATATTAACCGAGCTCCAATCGATTAATCTTTGTAATATCTTATTCCTTTACCCACCGTCTATGACATTAGATTCCCTGTCCGATTCGTCGCTGTCTGAGATTTCCACCTCCATCGTATGGTCCGGAAAGTCACACTGAAGTAGCGGCTTATGCTCTAATAGTGCAGTAACGAGTTGCTGAGATTCGTGCGATCCAATACAAAAAATAAAATAACTCATAGTTAGAAGCTCGAAGGCGTAAGATAAAAAGCTACGCGCTCAAGCCAAATACAAGATTATAATATAAAAATCATGAATTACTTCTTGATGGTCCAGGGCTATATCCAAGCAAACTTTACAAATAAAACGTTTCTTTTTCTTCATCATGTTAACTCCGAAAAAGGAACATGTAAAGGACGGCGCTGGTCTCATGTCCACTCCGGAGGAGCATTTAAAGTTTATACAATTTGCAATGCCCTTCTTCTTATCTTTGTCCTTCGTATTCATAGCAACGTCGTCGTCGGAATCTAATTGAATAACTTCCGCCTGTTGTGGCTTTGACATTATTATAAAAATCTAAAAGAACATTAGCTCAACATAAGACATTATTGATAAGAGGCACACACAATACATCTCGCAAATGCCAGCCTCATTCATAAGACATTTATAAAATAACTTACGCAGTAAACAACAATGAATTATTATACCAACAAACAGCCAAATATTCTCGTATAAGCATACATTATTGGAGAACAACGTTTTTTTTTTTTAGCCGCTGGTGTATTATGATGTTGTATTATTGTAATGTCCGTTAGCTTGACAAGGTTATGGGCGCAATTCTAGCGTTGCGCGCCACAAATACTTGTATGCAACATTCAATACTCTCGTATTAATGTCACAAAGATGACTCTGTTGAATAAAAAGTACAAGGACTAACCACCAGGAGGTTGAGCGCGACTTTTCATCGTCTCAACGGCTTATTTGCATTTCCAAGCTCGATGCGACATATTGACTTTTCTCTGCATAAAATCAATTCGAAAATCATAGGAGCTCGGGGGGACAACCATTTTCAATTCAATCTTCATTTATAATAAGAAAGCATTGGTTTGCTCAGATTATTTTTTTTTTTTTTTTTTTTTATTTACAATGGCGCATGGAAATTAGACGCATAGGGCCAATAGTGTGAAAAAGCACATTTAATATTATTTGTGTGTGTGTGTGTGTGTGTGTGTGTGTGTGTGTGTGTGTGTGTGTGTGTGTGTTATAAATATGTATATATGTATATATGTAATACACACGTAAAATTGGAAAACTATATTAGCAAATTTCTAAAATTTTCAATGATAAATTATTAATACAATAATGATTAATTCTCTCGTAAATATATTACGAAGAAGAAAAGTCTGTGCAGAATTTAATAATTTCGCTTAAAAACGTATAGATTTTGATGTATTTTTCTATAAGCTCGTCTATGTAATTAACTATGTGTATTACGGCATAACTTATTGTACGCGTATGTGTTAAGTGTTTTTGAAAAGTATCTATCCGATTATCCGATTATCGTATTGTCAGAATATAAATATTTTTTTAATAAACAATGAAATGAAACCAAGTCTGTTTGCTAATTAAGACACAACTTACCCTTTGGTAATTATAAGCAATTTACAACATTAATTTACTTTTTTTCAAAACTTTATTTCAATTACCTTACAACGAAAAATTTTTACATATATTGAAGTATTACGTATATTGAAATTGAAATGTTCACAATTTTAATAATTTAATAAAGCTATGCTCCATCGTGTTACCAATTCCAAATCGAAACTCGTAAACTCGATTTAGAAAATATTTTTTTATTTCAACAGCCTCTGGTGTCTCTTCTAATCTATGAAAATAAATGTAAATATGAATTTGACTGAGGAATTATCGAATTGGTTAAGCAAATTTTTTTTTTTTTTTTTTTTTTTTTTTTTTTTTTTTCTTATCATCATCTTTACTCTGATTTCATTTGTTCCTCTGTGAAATTATTCAACCATTATGTTGAACTTGGAATCGGTGATTTGCCGTCGTAGCCTTACTTGTGACGCTTTCCTGCCCGAAAGAATATCGACTTTTCAGAATCATCGAAGATTTATCATCCGACATGTTTGACAATTCTGAAACATCAGCGTTTCAATCCATTTTTAAGGAATGTTTTCTTTTATTTTAATTCAATATATATATATATATATTTGTTAAGTATCTATTATTTATACTTTTTAGTGTACGGGCATATTTCTTACGCCGATAATTTCTGACTTCTAGTTTTTCATCGTATTTAACGGCTACAGAGTAAATGCCTCGTTCGTGATGCAGAATGAAATTTTCATCTCCGTAATACTTATATCTAATGAAAATAATATATTATGTGCATTGATGTGTAACGCGCGCACGCATCATATCCACGTCGCATAATAATAATTATTATTATTATTGCTTTATTAATTAATAATGATGGCTATTTTACGTGTGTGTCTTTCTGTCTGCCTGTGTTTGTGTTTGTGTTTGTGTTTGTGTTTGTGTGTATGTATGTGTGCGCGTGTGCGTGTGTGCGTCTGTGTGTGTGTACACACATAACCTATATGTATATATATATATATATATATATATATATACATTTATCACGTGTATCGTATACCAATTGTCATTTCGAATTAATAGTTTCAGTCCACGATTTGGTTCATTTATTAATTGATTTCATCGAATTTTTATGCTGCATTGTAATTCGAGAATAAGAATGCTATAATATATCGTTTCGCCTATCAATCGATGATCTACTTCTAATATCGTCTAATTAATTTCAGTTAATTCGACGACATTACCTACGAATTCACAGTGACTGCTGCTGTCGTATCGACGACGCGCTCATCGTTACACGAACTCGAGTGCTCATTCCAGTTGCTATAAATGAAATTCGGGTTAATTAGGCAAAATAGACGAGCAAGAACAAGATCAATTTCGACCTACTCGGCGGTATTAAAGTAAACAAAAGCAATTATATCTATGGCCGCTCTATCATTGGGCACCCCCGACAATGAACAGTCTAAAACCGTCAGAAAAACCGACTTGCGGCTACTCGCTCAGCCTTTCCGAATAACAACAATAACAACAACTATAGATGCAACGACAACAACAACAACAACAACAACAATGACAATAATAACGACGACGATAACAACGATAGTAGCAGCTAAGACAATAATAATGTATTGATAATAGGTTTAAGAATAGGTTGATAATGGTAAATGTGATGGATCGTTGGGGGTAGGTGGGTAGGGGGGTTTGGGGGATTTTGCCGAGCTAATTAATAGCTGCTTAATTGGCCGATAAGACTGGCTCACCTGAATCGACGCCCCGCCCGAAGCAAACTAATTTCCATCTCCTCGAGCCAGAGCTGCTGGTAACCGATGACCGAGCCAGGCCTGCAGATTCTCAGCCAGGCGATGGCCTCACGTGCCGTCATCTTATAATGCTTCATCACGTAAGTGGCGATCAGTGTGCCCGTTCTACCGAGACCGGCCTGTCGATGGGAGAAAGAAATGTCTGGGATTACCAAGTCGAGGGCTAATCCATCGACTTACTTTGCAATGTACGGCTATGGCGCCTCTCGTCGTCTCTACGATATGCAAAAAGTGATCTAATATCCTTTTCGATGGCACGCCACCGTCTGGAAAGAACAGGTCGTAGTGGAACAAACCGGCGTTTGTAAACCTAAAGTCGAAACAGCGATTTATCGAGCGATAATGGACAATGTATTAGATTAGTATTATCAGGATAAGCTAGTCTAAAAATTCGTGCTAAATTTAAGATTTTCGAGGGTCGAGCATTGTTAAAACACACTTTTCATTTGCGAATTCGATGAATTATTAGCCTACCTGAATGAGTTGTAAGTCTTTTTATTGAGTCTGATGACGGTCGTGATGTCGTTCTTTAAAAAATAATTCAAATATTTTTCAGGATAATGAGCGACACTGTCGTTCTCGACATTCGGCCCGAAAAAGGCCAACAATTTACGTGGAACGATCCAATTTAAATCGCCGTTTTTCATCTGCACATACTTTTCGTATTCCTTCACGTCAAAATCTTGAAAGTCAAAGAAACCGAATAGTGCAGCCTTTTTTAAAGCCCTTAGACAATCTATTCTTGAAAAATATTTTCCTTATATATTGTTAAAATTGTTGCTAGCAAAATTACAAATTACGTTTATAGTAATCGATAATTGTTATTAATAATAAGACGAATCGTATCAAACAATGGTAATGATTAATTTGAAAATATTATTACCGATAAGTCTTATTTGATGATGCGAGTAGCCAATGGATGCATCTTGAAAAGGCTTCAAGCTTGGCAGATCTTTAGTCACAATTGTATTATAAATTTCCTCTGGTGACTTATTTAAGTACAAGACGGCATACGAAGCGACAAGATAAGCGGCATTTGCTCGTTTTTCTGCATTTACACACGTATAATGTACGACTAGATCATTACACTCATTTAAAATTTGATTAACACCGTAACAATACCTTAAAATAATTGATTGCTATATAAAAGCAATTTCAAATTGTACAATTACCTGTTAGCGCTACATGAGCTATGTTATTGTTAATAATATTATAATATTCGTGTGTAATCGTTATTTTTCATATAAATTAATTGCAATATAAATAAGTATAATTGGTTGGTAATAAGTAATTTTAGTTAAATTAATGATTGAATCTATTGCTTTGTACTTTCGGTACTTTTACAAGATAAATTAAAAGTTGCTTTTAATACTTTAAGATACTTGGAGACTATAAAGCTTTTACAATTACAAATGATATTATGCACAAAAAAAAAAAAAAAAAAAAAAAAAAAAAAAAAAAAATGTATAAAGCTATATTGTATTATACATAATGTGTGTGTGTGTGCGCGCGCGTGTGCGTGTGTGTTAAATCTAAATGAAAAGCCTCTCTTTAAATCTAAAAATATTCCAACTTGTATAAGCAGGCAATATTCAATGGTCCAAAATCACTATAAAAATTGTTATAAATCAATTCGCCATCGATATCAAACAAATACATATTTGGTATATGTTTTGGCTCCTTTCTTCCAGGAATCAAAGTTGCAAAATAAAATTTATTTTTAATAATTTCAATAATAGCCATAAGATCCGTATTATCATAAATACTTGTTTTATCTGAATATTAATAAGATTTTAATTTATTTTCCCATTAATAGTATATAAAAAGTTAGTTAAATAATCAAAACTCACTTCGAGATTTGCCCTTTAATTTATGGTAACACAGAGAATTTATTTGTCCAGACATATTTGAATTTAATCTCTTCATCTTGTCAAGTCATGTTCCATGTGGTTATAATAACATTTTTCTTATGTGTCTAATACTAGTTTTATGGCCTTATTAATATAATTTTGATGAAAGGGCGAGCATTATCCAGGTTGGCTTTAATACAAGTAAACGATAACAATTATAATATTAACCTTAAATCGAGATTATTCAGATTCATGCTTGAAATTTAACGAGACACTATCGAGCCGATTTATTGACAAACTGCCATTTACGTTATTAATGTTTATAAAAAAAAAAAAAAAAATCCTATTTATATTGATTTAGAATTTTTGAATTAGCTAAACTTTTTTTTATTTTTTTATTATGTCACGAACATAATGTCTATGTAGCTTTCATTTTTTTTTTTTTTTTTTTTTTTTTTTTTTTTTTTTTTTTTTTTTTGTGTTAAGCTCTTATCTAAAAGACTACTACAATTATTTATCCATTTGTAATTTCAGATTAACAATAAAGTTTTTATTCAATCCAAACTCATTGTTGAATATCACAATCCTTAAAACTATGGATGTATTATTTAATTCATTAATGATGAATATTGCAATTTAATCGTTTATTCTTTATATAGCGTTTGTGCAATTATCATCAATAACTTGTCTTAGATAAGAGAATATAAAATAAAATGAGCTAAAATAAATGATAAAAAATAAAATTGAAATATACAAATATGTTATTAAAATCAGAATGAATTAAAAATAAGTTCGATACGGGCTCTTTCATTATAAGCATACAAACGCAAGATTAATGCAATGCTGCACTTTTCTCTCTCTTTATTATTATAATTTTTTTTTTTATTTCATGTTAATACATCGCGCAAATAAAATGATTAAATTGTAAGGTAAAACTAATTTTATGGGGTAGGAATAAATAAAAGAACACAATTTTTTTTAAACGATAATACATTATGTATTCTTATATTAATAGTTTCAGAGTTCAAACTCGTGACTTGAAAATATGTTTATCGTCAATACAAGTCACTGTACAAGTATAGAATGTTGCCGATATACATACACGATTATAATGTATCTCTATTTCCCATCGAAAATTCAAAAAACAAAATAAAAAAGCGACAAAGCATTAGAAAGGAAAGAAATATAAAGTATCGAAGAAAAAAGAGTGCATCCCCATAATTATTTAAAATAAAAATGCAGTTCTTTTTTTTCTTTTTCTTTTTTTCTTTTTCATATTTTTTTTTCTTTTCTGTTTTTTTTTTTTTTTTTTCTTTTTCATTACAAGGCATACGATACGAATTATTATTTAATAGATTGCTCTCGTATATTTATTTAATACATGACCTTCACTATTTAAATACCTATAATCATACGACTTACTACGTTATACAATGAGATGTAAATGACGTTTTTAAAATACAATTTTTCGCTTCATACGAAATGCTCCAGAGAAAATGATGAACGATGTGGTGTAGGAAAAACATAAAAATAGCTGCAAAGGATTTATTTCAGTTTGAGGAATGCGCACAAATTGAAGAACGGACGAATGAATAAATATCAATAATAACAATAACAATAACAATAATAATAACAATAATAATAATAATAATAATAATAATAATAATAATAAAAATAATAGTAGTAGTAGTAGTAGTAGTAGTAGTAGTAGTAGTATATGATGAATCCTTGCGAAAGAACAAAGCTGTACAGAGAATGTAAGTGAACAGAGGGAGAAGAGCAGGAAACATGAACGTCTCGGTTTTTTGTATTTTTTTTGTTTTGTTTTTAAAGATTGAAGTCTCGTAAAGAATTCTATTTATTTAAATTTATTATGGAAAAAAATATGACAAACATTACGCTACTGAACATCATCTTATACGTATGCGCATGCGTATGTGTGTACCTATATATATATATTTTTTTTTTTATTTTTTTTTTTTACATACATATACGTTACACACCTGCGCATACTCACGCGCCCACGAACCACACACACGCGCAAGCACGCGCACACACACATGAATTATCATACTTGCGATCAATTGTCAGTTAATCGAAGACCTGGCCGACATTTGGCATAATTGCAGTTTAACTATTCATACGATAAGCCGCATATAATTTTTTTTCATTACCTTGTATCTCTTCGAATATACTAGCTATACATACATAATTATTAATTACACTTTTGCATATCCATTAAACACGGCAAACCCTCACTCTCTCTCTCACTCTCTCTTCACTGCCGGGTATTGCTCTTTTTCAATTCAGTGTCGATTATTTCCCATTTTTAGTTATGATTATAAATGATCTGACGCGATAAAAAGGACACGTGATATATATATATATATATATATATATATATATATATATATGTACGCTTGATTTCACAAATAGCTGCGGACTAATAATGTGATTTTTTTTGTTTTTCGGACGCAAAAAATACGAGTACCTCATAGAGGGACGCTCTGTCTACTTTCATTAATCTTCGCATTATATAAATCACTCGATGACTGATAAGATTAATATATAACTTAAATTTACAAATTACATCCTTTCTAGCCTTAAAATACAATTTATGATACTCGCAAAAATAATGAATATTACAATAGATAGACCACTTTCGTTCTCATTAGTACATAATTTATTTTATTGTTTTAAATTGCATTTCACACGTGTTTCTCGCCTAATGATCGGGCCAAACCCGAGTATAAATAAATAATAAAGAAATCTAATGTGTATCCGTGTACATTAGTGTCTGTTTGTGAACAACGTAAGTTACTGATTGTGCGCGTGTTTGTAATTTTTATCTGTCCGTGTCTCTCTCTCTCTCTCTCTCTCTCTCTGCGCGCGCGTCTGAGCTATCTTTAATTCGTTGTTATATTTTACTCTTTGATTATTATTATCCTTCTATTAAAAAGTTAATTAAATGTGGGTTCGTCGATGCGAACCCTCTCTTTGGATTCCAACGAGCGACGCCTTTGTTCGTTTCAATCGTAACGCGACATCGCTCGTATTTCTCTCTTTCACTCTCTGTCTCTCTCCCACCCCAACCCTCCCCTCATAATTACAAATTATCTCTAACTTTTGACCTAAATATTAATAAGGCTCTTTTGGACTGCCTTTGCTTGTTTGCTTTTATTTTATTTATTTATTTATTTATTTTTTTTACTTTTATTATTATTATTGTTATTGTTATTGTTATTATTACTATTATTACTATTATTACTATTATTATTATTATTACTATTATTATTGTTATTATTACTATTATTATTATTATTATTATTATTATTATAATCATTATTATTATTAATTTATTTACTTTCTTATTTAACTGCCCTTAAATGCTAAACGGCACAACTACACTTTAAATCCGAAGTATAATTACAACTTAAAGGCTACTTGGTGATAACGCATATTTATATAATGAAATAACATCGCTAAACCGCCGAGGACGAAGTCTATCCTCTCCTATTTACAAGTGACGCCCAATTACACACTCACAGAGACATACAGCTGATTTAACGAACGGGGTGAGCTCTTTCACATTCACATTTCATCATGCTCTCTCACTCTCACTCTCTAATAATACAGGCGCGCAGAGTACAGATTGATCGAGCAATAGGAGTACCGAAAAGCATTCACCCGCTACTCGAAACTACGCACAAATTGCGCAAAACCTACCGCGCTCTAATCGGTACTAGGCGGTAGTCAAAAGTGCATTGTCGATTGAGCGAGAGGGCATTTCACTCGGTCGACAAGCAGTTCCGCACTTGCTGCACAGTGCCCGGGCCAAAGGCCAATAGCGCGGCGCGAACTGCGTGCCAAGGTCGTCAAATTTTAAGCAATTCTCACGTTATTTTACGGCTATGATAATTTCAAGATTTCAATCACACAGAGACAAAAGACAGAAACAACACGCGGGATGGTGAAATATTCATTTGTCGCGCACCCCATCATCCATTCCCCTCTCCCTATTGAGTAGCTGCAGTTTCATACGTCGAGCGATCGATTATACAGAGATCTACGCGATGATAAAATGACAAATTTTACAAGCGAACGATGCAAAGAAGTGGCCGACGTATGACCCACTTTGCATATTATCATTATTGAATAAATGGCCGCGCTCGAGTTTAGCACCAACATCACTGATGGCAAACGAAATTTCATCTCGTTGGCATCATTCTGATAACCAGGTTCATTGGTACTTGGTACTTGGTACTTGGTACTTGGTTATCGGATCTCGGGATTCCCTACGATGCCCGATGATTATATCTCATAATGGAATAATCGAAGAATAATTTTCAATTGCAGGAGGTCGATTGCCAATGTCAGCGACGTATTTATAAAACCCATCTTTCACAATAATTACGTACTCGTTGGTTTATAGCGGGAGCGTTAGCACGGACTGTTAGCACACACAGCGCAAGTAAGTTTTCACGCACGTATGTGCCAGAAGTAAGCCGATAATGCGAGAGATTGACGAGTAAGGAAAAATCGGATGCCGTATGTAATTAGCCTAAATTAACGGGCATTAATCGTGGCAAATGACGCGACATACCGAGAAGGGGCATCTACGTAAGAAAATAGCTTACAAATTGCAGTTCGACATCGTGGCGTTGTGAGGTGGGGTGTGGGCGGTGGGGGCGGACTACATGACGGCGCATTACAATTGTCTTTCGAGTTTATAAAGCTACGCACATGACACCGCAATACGATATGAACTGACATTATTTGTAAAAGATTACTGGCCAACTTGCCGCATCCGCGTCTAAAGGAAAAGCTCCGCTCCTTCGGACCGTTCGAGCAAGCGTCGGCGCACTCGCGTTAATCGACACATTAATCGCATTCTAAGGATTAACGTCGTTGAGTGGATTAGTGGGTGGGTGGGAGGGGCGGGGGGGGGGTGGCTAGCCGGAGGCGAGCGCTTACTCGTGATTGCCTTTGACGCCGAGGAGCTTGGCGGCATCGTCGGCCGAGGCTTGTAGCACGCGATCGATAATACTCTTGTCCCTGATGCCCAGCAGATTGGAGATGAGGTCGTTGTCGGTGTTGTCGTTCGCGTCGGGGACGGCGAGGCTCGAGGAGACGCCCGCCGTCAGTTTGCCCGTGAGCGTCGTCAGCTTCTCGTAGGGATTGTTGAAGCGCATGAGGCAGCTGGGCGCGGCGTCGCCGGTCGCGACACTTCCGACCTGGGGCAGGCAGGCGCTACCGGCGCTACTCGCGCCAGGCTGATGCTGGGAGCGTGGCGTTATCGTTGGCGGTTGGGTCATCGGCCCGACCGAGCCATTGTCCTCGTCGCCGCTCGTTCCAACGTACATCGTCGAGTCCACGGACTCGTGCTTCTTTCTGTGTCGCAGCATGCTGTGCTTGAGAGTGAAGCGTCGGCAGCAGATGTCGCAGGAGAAGGGCCGTTCGCCCGTGTGCGTGCGCATATGGCGACGAAGATCCTCCGCCGACCAGAAGCGGCGCATGCAAAAGGCGCAGACGACCTGTTAAATGAACGAGACGAGGCAATAACAACGATTAGTACAGTTGCAACAGGAACGGTTGGAATAGATTGCAATGGGCTAAGATCGGTTAGAATCAGAAATGATCGGTTAGGATCGTCACGTTCGTTACATCCTTACCTTTCTGTTACTGTAGTCGGGGAACCTGCCGCGTCTCTCCTCGCCGTCGCTCGGATGCTGAAGCGACGACGACGGGGCGGACGAGGACGTCAACGTCAACGATGACTGCGGTGGCGGCTGTGGCGCTGGCGGCATCTGCTCCTCGTGGCTCTCGATGTCCATGTCGAGAGCGCCCTTGGCAACGAGCATCTCGTAAGAGCGCTCGTGGTTGTCCTTGATGTGCTCGAGACAGTCTTGGCGATCGGCGAAACCGCTGTCGCATAGGTGACACTTGAAGGGTGCTTCGGCGGTTGGACCGGGTGACGACCTCGGGGAGCCTCGTCTCGATCGCGACGCGTCATTCCCTGGTGGAGTTGCGGTAGCGGTGGTGGTGGCGGTGGCGGTGGTGGTGGCCACGACGGTGGCGGTAGCTGCTGCGGCCATGGCAATGGCGCCGTTGGCGCTGGCGGACACCGTTGGTTTTGTCGGGCCCATGGCCCCCGGGACACCGTTCTCCAAGTTCTCCGAATCACCCGATGACTGGCTCTCGTATCCGCTTTGGTCGTTGCTCTGCTGATGATGCTGCTGCTGTTGCTGCTGTTGCTGCTGCTGCTGCTGCTGCTGCTGCTGCTGCTGCTGTTTGGAGCAGTCCTGCGTATAATCCCGGGACGTCTCCTGCGTGCATTCGGGCTGGCACTCCTGGGTGCATTCGCTCGGGCTCTGATCTGGGCTATTGTGGGTCTCGCTGGAGGGCGAGTCGGGCCTCGACTTGGCGTTACGCGCGTGCTTCGTCGACCTGTGCTTCTTTAAATTGCCGAGAGTGGAGAATGTCGAGCTCGGGCACTGATTGCATTTGTAGGGCCGCTCCGGGACGTTCCTCATGGAGAACTGGCCGTTGTTGTTGGCTGGCGCCTCCTGGGCCTCGGGCGACGACGTGCTGCGGGCCCTGCGTATCTTGTTGGCGTTGGCCTTGTGCTTACGTAGCAGGTGACGATCGCAATTGGATTTGGTGGTGAAGAGCAGGGAGCAGTGCATGCACTGGTACGGCTTTTGCCCGGTGTGCGTGAGAATGTGCCGCCTTAGCGAGGACGTCCAGGGGAAGGGTCGCTCGCAGTAGGGGCATATGACACGATTCGGTGCCATCGAGTAGGCGGACTTCTTCTTCTTCTTCTTCTTCTTCATTTTCTTCTTCTTTTTCGTGGTGGAGGAGTTGCCGGAATTGCCGGAATTGATCGAGTCGGACTTCTCGTCGCTGCCGGACTGATTGCAGTCGCTGGTCGACGCGACGAGGCCCTCCTCGTCGCTCATGTACTGCGACTGGAACTGCTGGTAATGCTGCGAGGCATTGTCGAGGATCTCGGAGACGCTGGCGAGGTCCTCGCTCTCGTTTTGTTCGGCCTTCACCTCGACTTTCGCCTCCGACTTTACGGCGACTTTGCGCAGTAGCTCGTTCGGCCCGTCTTCGTTCTCCGATTCCGCGGACTCGCCCGCTTTGACGGAGTTCGGCCCCTCGTCCCGAGCCTCGGCTTCCTCCTTAATCCGTAACTTCTGCTCCGCTGATCCTCTCCTCCTTGCCTCCTTAGATTGCCGATCTTCACCACCTTTACACTCGATATTGGCCTCCAATTTTCCTCGCAATAGGCTCAGGGTACGCTCGGTGGGCTCCTTAGCGGCGCCCTCCTTCTCTCCGCCAGCCGACTCCTCGTCGATGATGAGCTCTTCGTCGGTGTCATTATCATCCTGCTTGTTGCCCTTCAGCTGCTGGGCGAGAATCGCGTACTTGACTTGGTCGGAGATCGCGTGCTTCCCGTAATCCGCCGTCGACGACTGCCCGAGCTTCGGCAGCAAATTCGAGTACGAATGGGCGATCTGCTGGTGGGCGGTGGACTGCTGACCGAGGTTCTGCAGCAGCGTCGGAGGATTGGTCGGCGGCCTTCCCCTCGTCGAGTGGCCGCCTCTGGGCCGTTGGCTCCAGTGCTGCGGATGCTGCTGCTTTATGTGTCTTTCCATGTTGCTGCGCAGGGTGAATCTCGCCGAGCAGTGCTCGCAGGTGAAGGGCCGCTCGGTCCTGTAGCGCCGCTGCTTCTGCTTCGGCATCAGCACGCCGTTCTTTATGACCATCTTGACGGAATTGGCGGACGGCGGGGCCTCGAGCTTCTCGCGCGGCGACAAGCTCTTGCTCATTAGCTTCGAGGGCAGCATACTCGGGTAGTCGCTCGGCTCGCTGGCGCTGTGAGTGGGCGGAGGGTTTCGCGGCGGGGGGAAGGCTGCAACGTAGCCGGGGGCCGGTGGCTCCACGAGGCTGCCGCCGCTCGTCTGGAGGCCCCGGACGAGCTCCTTCTGCAGCCGCTCTTTCATCGCGAAGTCCTGGCTAAAGAGGTGAGGATTAAATAGGTAGGGCTGGAGGATGCCGGCACCGACGCCCGAGAATGTCCCAAAGTTCCGGTAAATCATGTGGGCGTTCGCATAAAAAGTCTCGAGGGACGACGGTTGGGCGGCGCCCACTTGGCCGGCCTTGAGCAGTGCTTGGGTAAGCAGCAGCTGATTGGTCGTGTTGTACAAGTCCTTGTGATTGCCGCTGAGGTCCTCGGCGTTACCATTAATATCACCAGCGCCACCGATGCCAATGCCGACGCCGACGCCGGCGGTCTCGCTGTCCTTTATGGCCGCGGCTACGGCGGCCGCAGCCGCGGCTTTCTTACTCAAATCGAGTACGTCCATGGTGAGATCGAGGGGCGCGTCCTCGGCCTCGGCATCCCCATCCACGAGCGATATATCGTTGCCGTTCGACTTTTTCAAGTCCATTGGGCTGGCCTGGATTCTTTGGTGTGCGTCCGCTTTGGTTTCGCTGACTAGAGACACGCTACCGTCCGACGACCTCGAATCTAAGTCGTCATCGAGGCTTTTGAGAGCACCTCGCCGTGGCTTGTCGAGCTCGTCGGCCCTGTAGGTGAGCTCGAGGGGCTGCTGCATGGCCGACGGCCGCGAGAACACGTCGCCGCTCTTGTCGTAGTGGCCGACGTCGACCGCGTGATGAAGGCTGGCCAAGCCTGCCAAACCCGGCTGACGTAACTTCGCCTCGTCCTTGATCCTTATTTCGCCTGAATAATGGAGCTGTTGGTGCTGTTGCTGTTGGTGTTGATGTTGCTGTAAGGTAGCCATATCGTCGCGCTCGCTCGAGTAGACGAGAGTCTTGCGAATGTCGTCACGGGCCAATCCCCGGGGTGAGCTCCTCTCGAGGCTGCTGTCGTTGGTGGAGTCCTCGCTCGGATGGTAGATGAGGACGCTCTTGATTTCCTCGCGCGACAGCTTCCCGTGGCGATTGCGCACGTGCCTCTCGCAGTTGGCCTTCGTCGTAAAGGCGTAATTGCAGAGCGAGCACTCGTAGGGTCGGTCGCCATTGTGCGATCTCAGGTGCCTGACGAGGGTGGCCTTGTCGGTGCTGCTGTAGGGGCACATGTTGCAGGGATAGGGCATACCCGGGCCGACGCCCATGTGAGCGCGATTGTGGCCCTTGAGGGCGCGAAGATTGGGAAACACGGCGGTGCAGAGCCTGCAGGGGAACTCGCCCTTGAGCTTCATCTTACGAAACTCGGCCGCGAACGCGTCCTGAGCCTCCTCCTCGTGGTACTCGGAGGAGGGGGTGCCGGATGAGCCGGAGGAGCCGAGGCTCTGCTTGATCTTACAATTGTCGGGCGTGCTCGCGTCCGACCTCGAGAAGCTCTGGAGTATGGGGCCGGAGGTCACGGAGATGATGCTCTGTATGTCAGCGAGGTCCTTGCCCTCCTTAGCTTCGACGAGGGCCGCCTTGTTCTGGAGATCGAGGCCCGCGAAGAAGTCGTCCCTCGTCGACTGCTGCTCCTCGTGAATGCGGCGGCCGGCTGCGTCGAGGGGCAGCAGACCGCACTCCGTCTCGTGGGCGTCGAGGGCCGAGCGACAGGGAAAGGCGCGCAGGCACTTGGAGCACTGGTAACGCGGTGTCTCGCCCGAGGCCGGCCGGTGCAGCGACTGCTCGCAGACAGCCCGGGCTATCGCGGGGAACTTATCCGAGGAGAAGTCGACGAAGGTGAGGTCGTTGAAGCCGACGACGGAGTTGCGTAGATTGCGGCTTACCGCCGCGGCCCCGTGCTCGCTAAAGTGTATCATGAAGCGATGGAGATTGAGTGCTCGATGGTTCTTGAAGGAGAGGTTGCAGCTCTCGCACTTGGCGGGCACGTCCGGGTGGCTGCGCTCGAGGTGGGCCTCGAGGAGGGCGCTCGTTGCGAAATCCTGCCTGCCGCAGACGGCGCAGCTGTAGGTGCACTGGGCTGCCTCGGCGTAACCGCCTCGCAAGTCCGCACGGCCACTACCCAGGAGTATCTTGTGCCTGCGGTGGCCGCCGTCGAGCTCGTCCCCGTAATCCGGGCACTTGCGCTTACCGTGCTCGGCGACGAGCTCCGGAGAGTTGCGCTTAGCAACCTCGTTATTGTTGTACTCCTCTTGGATGAGTCGGCGCTTGAGCGGCCGCTCCGAGTCGCAGCTGCCCTCGGAGTCGGTGCAGCTGTGGGACGGTGAAAGCGTCCTGTGGGCCGTGCGCAAGTGCCTGTTCATGTTACCGTTGGTCGTGAATGCCATGTCGCAGTACTTGCACTTGAAGGGCCTCTCGCCCGAGTGCACGAGGACGTGACGGTCAAGGGAACTGGCGGAGCTGAGGACCTTGTGGCAGACACCGCAAGCGTAGTCAACCTCCTCGCCGCTGCAGTCGCTGATGCTGCGGGGTGAGTTGTGGCCTCGTAGATGAGTCGTCAAGTCTCGGGAACTCGCGAGTACGAGTGGACAGGCCGGGCACGGGTGTGTACCTTCCGGCTGCTCGACCTTGAATTTTAAAAGATCCTGCATTATGCGTCCGTCCGTGCGTGCGTGCATAAGAGAGAGAGAGAGAGAGAGAGAGAGAGAGAGATTGAACGCACGCGAGCAGTAATAATCACCTGAGTTGTTTTTTTTGGTTCGCGTATTATTGGACGATCTTGGACGTCTCGAGTTTACGGGCAGAATTCGCGCATTGCGAGAGGGACGATTTGAAAGGGAATTTGGTTGTCGCCATAAGGGACACGGGAAAGTCCGACGCGCTATGTAAACTTTTAAAGATAAGGTAACGAACGATGAAGCCTATGCAAAAGCCACGTCTGCGACGAAGTCTCTAATATTTAAGAATTCTGCCACCCCGCCAAGCGGGCAGACAGGAAGGCAGCCAGGCAGTCAGCCAACCAGCATAGATAAAAAGCGGCAAGAATAACGATAATCATAACGAATGGAACTCTTAAGTGAGACACTGATTCATTTTTAAGCTACGGTGCGTGTTACGTAAATGTAACGCGTGGATTTTCGTAGTAGCCATACGAATGCTTAAAGAGGAAG